TAATCTCCTAATTAATTTGTCAGAGTCACTAAATATCTATCATTTTAAATAAACTAAAAAAAAGTAATTATAAATCATATTTATCAAAATAGTTATATATTCACTCTTCAAAATACATTGTGCAATAGCTATGAGATTTCAGTAATATAAATCTATCATTTTTAAAGCTCCTAACTACTAAAATAAAACATATATATAAAAAAAAAAACTTAAAAAGACTGGCCAACCTCACTCCTGAGGGTCATGACCCCTTCTCACAAAGAACTTGCCTACCTATCCAAGATGAACCACTAGCCTCAAGTCCACATAGAATACCTAGATTGATCAACAAGCGTTACTCCCTCTACAAGGTGTGTCGGAGATTGCTCACCAATCTAGTAGCCCAACACATCTCATGTACTTGGACCACTACATCAGTCACTTCCTCCTTCTCAAAGCGACCATCTTCACCAGACTTAGATATAAGAAAGTGCCAACTCACGGGACCCTTAACTTACCTCACTGTGATCATCAAACTTGGAGCTCTCCATCCTTGTGAGAATACCTCACTCGCCTCTCTCCTCTCATGAGATCCAAGATCTCCCAAATTGGTCACTAGCAATATCAATAAGCTTCCCAAATATGTCGTCTCATGATTTGTCCTAGATGAACTGCATTTTGGTTGAACTAATCGTATTGTATAATCGGTCATTCATATTGATAATCGTATATTACTAACAGAAAAATTGAGCTGTTTGGACTGATGTTTGGTCTGATGATTGTACAGTACGAACATGTAAATTGAACTGTTCGTACTGTACTAACTGGTGATCATATAGTACTAATAGGTCAAATTCTTCACATCGTACTGGATGATCTTGCGATCGTACTATACGATCTTTGATGGCTGAATTAATTTTTTAGGGTTTTTTAAAACACTCTATTTAAGTTTTCTCCAAAGACATTATAAGTGTCTTTGGCATACATTGAGTCTTCATTCTTCTTGAAAAAGCTTGAAGAGAGAGCATCAAAATAGAGAGTAAAGGGTGCAGTTTCAGAAGGAGAAGATCCTTGTGAGGTTCAAGGGAGTGTGCAGGGGGTTTCACATAGTTGCTCTAGCAAGCTTGCATCTTAGTACCATCAGATTCAAGGTTTATTATGAGGAAAATTATGGGAAGAAGAATATCTCTTTGGTGTCAAAGGATCTGGCTACTCCGTCATACTATGGAAGGTAAAACTGATTCAAGATTCTCTGCCTCACTAGGAGGGTGAAAAGGAGTCCAGGTTGTCTGCCTCATGAGGAGGGTGAAAAGGAGTCAAGGTCCTCTACATGTGAAAGGAGTTCGGTCATCTACCATACCAAGTTGGTGGAAGAGAGTTTGTAAGGACTTCTCCGCCTAGTTGTGGGGGCTAAATGAGAGACACTATAGTGATAGTGTAATACTCATATTGGGTGACTCTGAGGAGTGAACGTATGTCATGGTTTGATAGAACCAATATAAATCTGGTATATTCTTTCTGATTTTATTTTCTATAGTTTATTTTTTTGTATTTATTTTTTATTATGACTGCATGGTTGAAATTCTTGGATTGATATTATGTTGTATGTATTAGACTATTATCACAATCTTTGTAACTTTTTATAAGTGTACTAGCTTTCGCATCAAGTGATAGTATTCCTTCTGTATTAGCAAGCCTTAGGGACAGTTCATTGAGGTCTAACAACCTCCAAGGAGTTTCAAGTGCCACTACACTCGAATATTTAGCATTATTATCCTCCAAAAGTGACATTCTAGCTTTTGCCAAAATTTATACCAAACACTTAAGATTCATTCTAGAACACAGTCAATCATTTTCACGCATTAAAATACTCCTAAAGACATGCAAATAATTAAAAAAACTCAAAAGTTTAAATCTGTACCTTTTTCCAATTCGATCAAAATGGGTATAACTGAATGTTGTACTTGGATGTTTCACATGTAATGTATACTTTTGTGGATAAATAGAAAGAAACAAACTTTTGCGGATGAATAGTGAAAAATTTAGAAACTCTGGTGTCTATCTTAAAATAAATCTAAATTTTCTCCAAATATAAGATCTTAGATTATTTTGTTCTACCTTTGTTCTATTACCACACAACACGATATGACATGTATCTATGAGTCATATTGAGTTGGGTTATAACACTAGCCATGCTAAATAGTGACATGATTAATGGGAAGGTTGGACTGTGATAAAATCAATAAATAATGAGTTGAAACAGCCATCGATCGACTGATGAAAAATAAGGTGGAGGAGCTCATAATGGGAGAGATTTGAACGATATTTGGAAAATTTTGGGCAAATTGTGGAAAGGACCAAAGCATTGATGGGGCTTTGCACTAAGAGGAATACTTGGAATATAGTTTTTTTTAAAGGGGGTTGAGCCAGTTAAGTCAAACTCATGCATACATCACATACATGAGATTCAAACTCAAGGCCTCTTAGTTGATATCCAAAACTCCCAACCAACATATCAAGATGAGTTATGTATTTGGAATATAGTCAACAATGTAATTTTGGTAAACAAAAGTGATCAAAATAGATATTTGGGAAATAGTTGATTCCTTGTGTATAAGTCATGATGATGGGTTTTGGGTGGTGATCCAGTTATTGTTATTTGACAGTGATGGCCAAGTTATGGTGAAATTATGGCCATTATGTGATGATCTAAACACTGTTATTTGATCATGTTCCGGTGGTGACAGTTACATACTGGTCTAATGGCGGTAATCCAGTATAGCTCTAAGATTTTTCAAACTTATGAGCTCTCTTGAATATAAAGTTAATGGCCCTCTTCATTTAGAGAGTGTGAGTCTATTTATAGATTCTAAGAGTGGCATCCCTATATATAGTCAAAATTCAGAACATTTCATTAAATAGTATGTGTAAATTCTCTTAATCATAAGCCATTCAACATTTAAGTATCTTAATAATCTTAGTATTAATCCATTTTAAGCTAGTTGGATTCATTCATCTCGTTGAGATGCATAATTTGATTATAAACATGCAAAATTCGGAGATTATTTGATCATCCAATTAATGTTTTGAGGTTTCTAACTATACTTAACCACTTGATTTGGGTTAATTAGGACTTAGATTAGATCTCTTTTAGTTTTTATGGGCTCATTTTTCAATTGGGCTATAAGTTTAATGAAATTGGAGTTCAAATAATATGGAGTATAATTTTAAAGTTGTCCACTTCAATTTGTGTTAAGATTTATGCCTAATTAAGTTAATTTTTTCATATATAAAATAATTTCACATGAATTTGACATATATCAGCCTCTTGAATGTCAAGTATGTAAATATTTATAATAAAAATGATTTTCTAATGTTGCAAATGTGATAATGATTTACTTTATGGCTAATTTAATTTATGAAATACTTTTGTTCTTCATAAAATCAAGAAATTTGAGAAAATTTTAACCCTTGTGTTGAATCCAAATTTTTCCATGGATGACATACGACCTTACTAGTAGGCATACATGTAAATGTGAGACTTGGAACATATATAAGAATAGAGAGAAAGAAAAATGCTAGAGAAAAGTTGTAGCAAATGCTTAGAATCTCAATGAGATAGAACAAGATACAAGTATCATAAAATTTGAAAGATGTAAAATGCTCATCATCACCTCATATTTATGGTTTGTCTCTTGACGAGCACAGTAGTGCCTAATGTGCACTAGGCAAGCTCCGTAGTGTGGACGAGCTTGGTAGTGACAAGTAGGAGTGGGCGAGTCTACAAGCGAGCTCTCGACGACTAAATGGAGTATGGGGGCTTTTGGTGACCTGTCATGAGTCTTGAATTTCCTACCTGCTAAATACATGTTAAGGCATATATGAGTGTACACATTGAATCTATGGAAAACTTCCTCTATTTAAAAACAAAAAATTTATACAACAACATCAAGCCTTTATCCCACCATGTGGGGTTGGCTAATCCTTTTTCTCCATTGTTCCATGTTAAAAGTTAAATTATCATTTAAATTTAATAAATAAATATCATTTCTAATATTTTCTAACCATGCCTTTTAGGCCTACCTCCACCTTTTTTTACATAAGTCAAATCTAATACATTTACTTTCCTAATCGAGTCATCAGAAGGCGGCCATTTTATGTGGTCAAACCATCTAAGACAACTCTCTCTAATCTTATCTTCCATTGGAGCTACTCCAACATTTTCACGTATATGCTCATTTTGTATCTTGTCTCTAATAATAAAGCCAATCATCCACCTGAGCATCATCATCTCTGAAACAATTAACTTAATATTATGCTTCTCTTTTAATGGCCAACATTATGCACCATAAAACATTGCAAGTCTAACCACAATCTTATAAAATTTTCCCTTAAGTTTGAGGAGAACTTTTCTATCACACAATAAGCCTAATTTATTCCTCCACTTATTGAATTCTACTTGATATGTCGTCAAAAAATTATCTTGATCGGGCACAAATCTCGAGGCAAAATCAAGCCGAAAACTTTAAAAATTAAATTCGGGATCACCTGAACTCTGATTTCAACAAACATATAGTCAAACTGAGCATCTCATAAATACAAACCCAACGACACAAAATTCGACTCAATCCGAGCCCAAATGAGTCCAAATCAACTACCCATAGCGCTATTGGAAGGTTCAAACCACAATTTGGGTTACTAAACGGTTTCCAAACATTACATGCTTATAGTCGAATCAAGCGGATCAACGAGATGAATCCAACGAGCCCAAGATTGTTGAATTCTAACATCATTAAGGCCTTCAAATGTCTGACAAACTGTGTATGGTCAAGGGATTCAATATGGGCCATCCATCCAACCATTCCCCATTTACCCTTAATCTCTCACCTATTTACGGGTCATGCCACTCCAGAAATCTATAAATAGACCCCTCATTCCTCTTGAAAGGGGGACGAAATCAAGAAGAGAAGAAGAGAAGACAAGGAAGAAGCTCCTCCTCGACCACCATCGGAGTTTCGCCCGACCACCGCTGGATCTTCACCGGACCACCACCTGAGGCCCTCACCTTCGCCAGACCACCACTTGAGGCCCTCACCTCCGCCGGACCACTGTCTGACGTCGTTGCTCCGCCAGACCACCACTTGAGGCCCTCACCTCCTCTCGATCATCGCATGATGTCGTTGTCGGACCACCACTTGAGTCTCTCACCTCTGCCAGACCACCACTTGAGGCCCTCTCCTCTGGCGGACCACCGCCTGACGCCGTTGCTCTATCAGACCACCATTTGAGGCCCTCACCTCCGCCAGACCATCACCTGACGCCGTTGATCCTCCGGACCACCACTTGAGGCCCTCACCTCCGCTGGATCACCGCATGACGTTGTTGCTTCATCGGACCACCACTTGAGGCCCTCACCTCCGTCGGACCACCACTTTAGGCCCTAGCCTTCGCCGAACCACTGCCTGATGTTGTGGCTTCGTCAGACCACTACCTAAGGCCCAGACTTCTACTGGACCTCCACTTGAGGCCCGGACTTCCTCCGGACCATCGCTTGAGACCCTGTTCTTCACCAGGCCACCACCTAAGGCTCGGACTTCCGCCAAACCACCACTTGAGACCCTGTGCTCTACCAGGACACCACATGAGGCCCGGACTTCTGCTAGACCACCACTTGAGGCCTAGAGTTCTACCAGTGTACCGCCCCACAACTACATTCTTTCAGACCCCTATCTCCTTCCGACTATGGTTCTTCAGACCTTCGTCGCCTACTATGGTCCTTATGACCTACATCACCAGATAACGGTCTTCCTGACCCCAGTCTCCTGCCGCCTACAGTCCTTTCGACCTCCGTCGCCTACTATGGTCCTTCCGACTTACATCACCAGAAAATAGTCGTCCTGACTTTGGTCTCCTATCAACTACAGTCCTTCCGACCTACTTCACCAGATAACAGTCTTCCTAACCCCTGATCTCCTGTCAACTACGATCTTTCAGACCTCTATCTCCTATCGACTACGGTCATTGAGGCCTCCGTCGCCTACTATGGTCCTTCCGACCTCCATTAACAATCAATGGTCTTTCTGACCCCGGTCTCCTACCAACTACGATCTTTTCAACCTCTATCACATTGACTATGGTCCTCCCGACCAAACAAAACATGTATATGTAACTCCCACAATGTAATGTGCTCTATATGATGTACATTTATGATATCAAGCTAAGGCCTTCTTCCCAATGAAGGGTCTCATTTGTAATCTACTGCAAATACTAGTGGATTCATTTAAACTGGGCCAATGATTTTTTCCCATTTTCAAGGATTTTCACGTAAAAACTCTAGTGTCACTTATGGATGTTACACCCTCTCTCTTATCTGCTTGTGTACTGGATCTTCGTACAATGTTAAGATGTTAAACTATATATTTCTCTACCGCCGCGAATATGCCAGGATGCAATACTACTAATAGTATCCCCATCTATTTCACCATTACTCTGAATAATTACCCTAGATATCTAAAATGTGTACTCTTATTAATTACTTGATCACCCAAAGTCACAATCCCCCATAAAAACTATTATTACTAAAATTACACTTCATATATTTAGTTTTAGATATACTCGAACGAAATTCTTTAGACTCTAAGGTTGACCTCCATAATTCAAGTTTACCTTCAACTCCCTCTCCATTTTTATCAACAAGAAGAATATCATCAGCAAAAAGCATACATCGGGGTAGCCTCATGCAAATGTCTAATGAGAACATCCATGACTAAAGCAAAAAAGGCATGGGCTTAAGACTTATCCTTGATGTAATCTAACATAAATAAGAAAATACTTGGTCAAACCACCTTGTGTTTGAACACAAATAACAACTCAATTATATTTTTATTTTTTTATATCAGTGTTATGTTTATACAAAAAATTTATGTTAAAGTCATCATAAAATAAATTTAATTATTTTTAAATCTATTCTGACTAAAAGTTTTTATAAGAATATACTAATCAAAATTTTCCCCATATATTTCAAGTTTTTTTCTTTATATGAAGCATTAAAAAAAATAAAATAGAAGCAACCGAGCAAAGAACAAAATAAAAAAGGAGGGATCTATAGTTGAAACATTAAATAATCATCTTTTTTTAATTTATTAATTTCTTCCAATAAATTACCCATATTTTAAATAATTCGGTAGTTATGGTTGACCAAATTAATTAAGTTGATAAGGCTTTGCCGACCAATCTTCTTGGTTGCCTAATTTTTGTCAATAAATACATTTGTTTGGGAATATTGTTTAATTAGGTTTATTAACATTATTCATATAATTATCCAAAGGAATACTCTAAAATGATAAAATTTAGATTATATATTTTTATTAATTTTCTTAGGATGCAATTTATAATTTTTTAATCTATTTTGAGATGAGTGTAATATAAATAATTTAAATATTACACTTATCTCATAAAAATAAATAAATTAAATTAGAATAGACTTTATAATTAGTAAATTTGATTTAATATTAATATAATACAACAATTTAAAGGTAGTACTAATCTCAAATCATGTACCGTATAAAGCCAATCTTCCATAAAATATCAATAATTGATTCAAAGCATTTGCTCAACAAATATAGAGTGGATTCTTATAAGATCCGGCACGAGTTTCTCACTTCACTGCGAGGGGTGTCAATTTTTGACACGAGCTGAAAATCTGACTCGAGCCCGACAAGAAAAATTCAATTTCAAGTCAACCCATTTTAACAAACAGTTCATATTGTAATTCCCGACTCTCTTAAAAAAATTGAGTTGTATTTGAGTCAAACAGTTAAACCGAAAATGACCTTGCATGCAGCGCGCCACACTTGCAGCTCGCCCATGGCTTGACCCATGCCTACTAGCTCGCTCGATGACTCACCTTCGCCTACTTGTGATCACACTCGTGGCCTGCTCTTGACCCCCGTCTGCTCTGCGCTCACTTAGGTCAACGTGTTGGGTCAGGTCGACCTCGAGTTTGAGACAGGTTGTGTTCATGTTTAGATTTATGACCCATTGAATTTTCAGGTTGGATCAATTGAGGACGGGTCAATTTTCGGGATGAGCCTAATCCTAACCCAAAAACCCATTTGACACTCATAAGTCACAGCTCTATCTTAGTGAGCAAGTGATTGTCCAACTTAATTTATTATTTTTCATCATGCCATTAAAAAATAATATTCGAGTTAAACCCCAAAAAAAATTTAAACACATAAAAATTCTTTGCTCACAAATTAAATTAAAATAATATGATTATTTTCTAAATTATGTTATAAGCAATAATAGTCAACAACATATCATAGTATAAATTTATTAAAGGTTGAGAACCTGTGATAGAGAATGCGTCAAAAATTTTTTTTCCAATAATAAAAAAATAGGGCGCGTGGAATCTAAGCATCGAATCTTCGAATCTTCTTATCTCGGCCCGCGTCTTCTTCGCCGACCCAAACCAACTCCTATCCCAAGAAAACCTAACCTTTTCATTTCTTTCAATCTCTCTCTCTCTCTATTTCTGCTTCAATCTCCTGTTTCCTCCCTTGAAAACCAATTTCTTATCGAGATCCGCTTCTTTTCTGAGATGGAATCGCCAAGATCTGGATCGGATTCGGAGTCGCCGTGCTGGAAGAAGAAATCGGCAGAGGAAGGGCTGCTTGCCGGTGTGAAGGATCACGTCGATCAATTCGTTCACACTTCGGTAGAGCAGCATCGGATTTGCCTCAAGAAAACTATCCGCGGCCTTTCCGATTTTGTCAAGCTCCACAAGTCACGCACTGTATGTTTTTCAATTTTCTCACCCCCTTCTTATCTCCAGTTTTCGATTTCTTTCTTTTCTGTTTTGTTGGAGATCTATTTCTTTTGCAGATTAATCGATCGTCGGCGTCGAAGGAGACGAGGATCGAACCTCTGGTCGAATTCTAGAACTGTTTTTTTTTATTTCGCAAATTATGGATTTTTCCTTTTTGATTTTCGAAAAAGTGAGATTGCTTCATATTGTGATTCACAGATTTTGTGAATTTTAAACTGGCAAAAGCTGGTGAAATATGCTGCGATTTGTTTACGATTTATCTCGGCATGTTTTTTTTTTTTTTTTGATTTTTTTTTTTTTTTTTTAAGTTTGTTCCAGATGATTACAGCGAAGTCTAGATCGAGGAAAATACCAACGGACCTATTTCATTAACTAATTAATTAATTACGTTTTTGTTTTTTCTTCATAGTAGATTGAATTCATATTGACTTGTAATGGGACTGCAAAATTTAAGAACTCTTTTTCAGGTTAAGAAGGAAAGAAGATTTGAAGGAATTGAAACTAATCGAGAAATTGCAGCTCTGTTTTGTTTGGAGGAATTGAAACTGAGGAACCCTAATGAAATGGAAATGAAAATTGTAAAAGAGTTCAATTGAATTTTCTTTGCACTCATTTGATAAGGAGAATTTCATTCTTGGAAGAAAAATATCTTTAGCAATGTAACGTTCATCACCTCCAATGATTTTGATAGCAACACCATTATCCATAATTTGAATTGGTTTTGTATTGAAATTCCTTCAATTATTTAGAGTTTGGCAAAACTTTTGTATTGAAATTTCTGCAATTATTTAGAGTTAGTCAATTTTTGCACTAATTTTTATAAAAATAATGATCTTTGTAATTCGGGCCGACTGCAATTTTTTCCCGGGGTGATCACCGAAGTTAACAAGCATTATATGTATGTGATGTTACTTTAAAAATTTCATTTAATCACATAAATTTTTGATACAATTTAAATTTAAAATTTAAAATTAAATTCAAGATCATATTCAGATGAACTCAAATGAAGCACTTAATTCTTATTTGAGAGCTTATGAACATTATTTGAAGGGCTAAATAGTTTCTAAATCTTGTATGCTTATAATCAAATATAATGGCTCGGTGAGACCAATCCAATGAGCTCAAGATCATTTAATTTTGACATCATTAAGATACTCAAATGTTGGATAAATGATCTATACTCAAGAGAATAAATATAAAGTGTTTAATCGAGTGTTTTAGATTAAGATTAAATTTACTAAAATATCCCTCTTAAAAATTATAAATAGGGATTTATTTTATATCTCAAGTGAGATTCAAGAGCTAAGAGAGCTAAAAATATTTATTATATTTTTTTTTATGATCACTATTGATAATTGTCATTAGCAATCACTATTACCATTATCAGACTTTTGTCATCTGACTATTGCCACTTTTGTATATTTAGCAAGTTCTAGTGCACTTTTTTTCCAATTATTTTCTAGTGTTTTAAAAGGTCAAGCTCGTATCTTGTTTTATCCACCGTTTGATAATCATATCCACAAAGTTCACCCACCTTACTCAATGTTTTGTCTAATAATTTATTGTTAATCAGAGAATCGTCAATGATTCTTCTCATCTTTTGAGGATCCAACAAAATAAAGGAGAAATCTTAAATTAATACTTTAAAGATTTTCCTCTAAAGATTAGTAAATTACTAAAGTAGAACCTAAGTTATTGAGGGGTGAATTAGAAGTTGTTGAATTTTGTATGATTTTCTCTGTGTAGAAATGAATGTTTTTATTTAAGCATGTTGTAAATATAACCATTAAGAATAAAAATGCATATGTGATTGGGTAATAGTTGTTTGTTATTGCTTTTATTGTAATGAGTGTAAAAGACAAGTAAAAATCGGTTGACCCGTTAGTTGAAGATTGATTGATCTATAGTGAATTTTGGGCCGACTGACTTTCTTTTAATTATTTGAGATTAGGTGTTATCCTCTAATAATTCATGTGATACAACAATACAACGATTGAGAGTTATAATGAGTTATTACTGTGCCGAAGAGCAAAGAGTAACGACTATATTTACTGAGCCAACGATTATTGATTATCGACTAATGAAAAACACAGTAATAGTCATGACTTCTTACTCGGTATGAACATCGACACTGTTTGATTCTACTACTGATTTATAGTACTAATCATAAGCATGTGTCATTGTTCACTCTTATATGTATCTTATTCATAAAGTAGAAGTATAAATTATTACTTTTGAATTTATCTATGCATATTGAATGTAGTTTGAGTAATCATTTGGTAAATAAAAAAATGCTCAAGAAAGTATTTCTTAGAAATTTCAATGAAAAAATATGATCAATAAAAAAATCAAGGCATTTCTCCAAAGAGTATCGATCACCTTAACAACAAAAAGAATATAAATAGTTAAAGAAATATTTGCCACTAAATACATATTGAATTAATATTTTAATGGCTAAACAAAATTAGGAGAATGTTAAGTGGAATCATCTTTTAAAATCGAATTCAAAAAAATCATAAGCAATATTATCATCTCCGTCGTAGTTGTGAACACACTATTGAGGCATGAAGACAATTGAAATAAAAAATTGGTAGGTTGATCCAAAATAGTACCTTTATTATTTCACTAAACATTCCTTAGCTTGAGCTTAGAAAGAGAAAAGTTCCAATTAGTTGTTGGACCATTATATGGATTTCATAATTCACTAGTAAGCATAAGGGAAGAATCATTCTTCATATAACTTTGAGAGAATTTTCCGTATCAAGCTATTCATTTAATTAAATTTGGGTGCTCAAATTTGAATAATCTTAGAACAATATCTTTGACGACCCTTACCAATCAATCTTTAATGCTATCATTTTTATGCCAAAAATAAATTTTCTAGCTCCCATTAGGGTTTGATGAAGTGCAACATGTAAATAAGTAGCATATACATGTTCAGATGCAGCTCCTTTTTTTAAAGGATCTTTTGAGTTGCATTTGTCGCAAGCCTTAGTAATTATTTTTCATTTTATAGATGGGAAGGGTTTGGCCTTCATTTTACCTCAAAGGAAAAAAAAAAGGAATCTTTATATAAAATTAAGGCATCAAATAAATATTCTTGTTGCGGGCTAGAATATATGCGGCGATAGAGTTACAATATGACGTCTTAACATTGTATGGATATCCAGCTAACACACAGAGAACATAAGATTTTTTATGTGAAAAATCCTAAAAAGAGAAAAAATCACGGGGTCTGACCCATTTTGAAATGATTTTATTAGTGTTTGGGTATGTTAAATTGGGCTAACTCATCCGTGAGGGCGATTAGATAACAAATGTCAACCATCTCATTGAAATCTAGTGACAAACGGGGATGAAAGTCCATCGTCACTTGGTGGATTGGCAGAAATCCGACGTTACTTGAAAATTCAGGTGTTGGTTGGTAGTTTGGCCGTGGTTTGGCAATACTTCGGTGTCGGGCGGTGGTCTAACAGAACTCCGGCGTCGGGCAGAGATCGAACAGAACTCCAGCATCGGGCGGTGGTTCGATAGAACTTCAGGCATCAGGTGATGGTTCGGCGGAACTTCGAGCATCAAGTGATGGTCTAGCATAACTCCAAGAGTCGGGTGGTGGTGCGACGGCGGAACTCCGGGCATTAGGGGTGGTCCGACGGCGGAACTCCGGGCATTAAGTGGCGGTTCATAGGAACTACAGTGTAAGGTGGTGGTCCGATAGAACCCCAGCATCAGGTGGTGGTCCGGAGGAAGTCCAAGTGTCAAGTGGTGGTCCGACGAAACTCCGAGCATCACGTGGTGGTCCGACGGAACTCCGAGCATCAAGTGGTGGGTAGTCTAGCGAAACTCCGACATCAAGTGTTGGTCCGACAGAACTCCGACATTAAGTGGTGGTTCGATGAAACTCCGGGCCTCAGGTGGGGTTTGGCGAAACTCCGGGGGTCGGGTGGTTGTTCGGCGAAAATCTGGGTGTCATGTGGTGGCCCGACAGAACACCAGGCGTTAGTGGTCCGGCGAAACTTCAGCGTCAGCAAGTGGTCCGACAAAACTCTGGACATCAGGTGGTGATTCAATAGAACTCCGAACGTCAGGTGACGATCCGGCAAAACTCCAGACATCATGTTGTAGTCTGACCGATCTCCTGGCACCATGTGATGATCAGACGAAACTCCTACGTCATATGATGATCCGACAAAACTCTAGCATTACGTGATGGTCGAGGAGCTAAGTGACAAGAGTGGTCTTCGATCTATTTCATAAGATAAAGTAGGACTATTTTACCTAAATAGTCATACTTTATCTCTTATATTTATATATATATGAGAGAGATCATTACATGCAAAATCTGGATGGAAGCTACATCGAACTTTTATGTGTTCAATAAAATAACAATTAATGTTCACATTGTGCTTTTACTATACTTTTGTTATACACACTCAAAAAATCCAAACAATTCTCCTGTACTCAACGAGAAATTATTGCGTGCAGAATCCGAATTCATTTGGATTCGGATAACCGCATGCCACATCATTAGATGCACTCCGGAGCCCAGTGCATGTAGTGACGTGACACATGATAATTGAAATCCAAATGCATTCTGATTCCGCACACTAATGTGTCATCACATTCAAACAATAAAACCTATGCCACGTGTTTCAATCCACCAAACAAACATCGGGTATGCCTATGCGAATGACTGGGCTAGCCACATCATAGCTGATCGTTGAGTAAACTCACAATTGGAAAAATTATACTGTGCGAACACCAAACAAAGTCAGCAGACCAATCAAAATGCATCGATACCAATCAAAATGCATCAATACGATTTTATACCAAATGACATGACACATTCTAATCTAAATTATCCGTTGTTGTCCGCACAAAATTACTGGGAAACTGGCGTTACTTATGAATTTAATTTTTCAGCTTTGTTTTCGCCAATATAATTAATAACAGACCTCATTTTAAAAATTTCTCCTTTTTTTTTTAATCTCCACAGTCCTCTCGAACGCTTTCTATTCATGTCGTATCAGTTTCAGGATCTCTGATAATGAAAATTTAAGGAGCGACAAGCAAATAATTCTGTATAGAAACTGCAAGCTAATCATCTGACCGATGAAAAGTGATTATCATCTCCAAGACTCCAAGGTACCATCTTCACTGCTAAATTTCAAATTAAAAAGAAAAAAATTTCAATCGCATCATCGAATCGCACAAAGAAAAATTCAGATTTACTATTTCTTCTTTTCGATTTCATCAACCACGTAGCACACCTAAATCCAAAAAACAAGCGACAGCAAAGATCAAAACCCAGCAAGCATAGACCAAATCAAAAACCCTAGATAACCAGAACCGTCTCTACTATAAAGACCTAGTTCCATAAGCCGCCCATATCGGATCGGCCGTTCTTCAGTTTCTCCAGTTCCCATCAGATCCACCCCCACCGCCGGAGTAGCGAGATCCGCCATCATACCCACGATCTCGCCCTCCGCCACCACCACGGCTATACCCTCCATCGCTCCTCCCTCCGCCGTAACCACCATCGCTTCGACCACCTCCATATCCACCACCACCACCTCCATATCCTCCACCTCCATATCCTCCACCACCTCCACCGCGGTAACCTCCGCCGCCACCTCCGCCTCCACCGCCAGATCGAGACTGAGCCTGGTTCACCGTGATGTTCCGACCGTCAAGGTTCTGCCCATTCATCCCCTCAATGGCATCCCTCATGGCCTGCTCGTTGCCGTAAGTCACGAATCCGAAGCCCCTTGACCTTCCCGTCTCCCGATCATTGATAACCTGCACCAGCATCGACAAAAAGCATCAGATCTGAAATAAAAAAACGAGATCAGTAGGCCGATTAACACTTCGATAAAAAAACGAACTATACCTTTGACTCGAGAACGTCACCGAAAGGGCTGAAGGCACTCTGGAGTGATTTGTCGTCAGTGGACCAGGAGAGACCGCCGATGAATAGACGGTATTCAACATCCGAAGCCGCCATCAAAGAAAGAGGAACGGAGTACGAGACCCTATAAAAAGAATCACGGAGAGGAAAGACGAAAAGATAGAGGGGGCCGCGGATCCCGCCCACCTCTGATAGATGGAGCACGAGAAACCCTAAGGCACTCACCATACATATTTTATAGAGCAGCTTAAAGTGGGCTCACAGCTGTTGACAGAGCTCGAAATATCTTCGTTTTGCAATTACTAAATTGCCCTGAAGGTGAAGGGGGCTATAATGTTTATCCAAAATTATAATTAAATTGCTTCGAATGCGGGTTCGAATCCAGATCCGGATTCGGATTACATATACATATTATATATCCAGATCCGCATAATTTTTTTTTTAATTTATTAGTAAGAGTAATCGTACCAATCTCCTCTATAAATTTACAAAAGCCTAACTAAATATTCTAGTATGATTTTTTGTTTTATCTTGTTTTTTACATGTGTAATTTTTTAATGCCGGAGATTGTAATTTTTGGGTTTTGGGGGGTTATTTTTCTTACCCCTTTTCTTTCTTTATCTCTTTTTACACGTGTAACTAATTTTCTCCTTTTAATGATATAGGCTTAGGCCCCTAATTTTTCCAACAAAAAAATATAAGATTTGAGATATTAAACATTTCAAATTCTCAAAATAATATGAAATATTTGGGTCTTTCGATTTCAACAAAAATAGTTATAGCTTCTAATTTTCAGCCTTTGCTTAATAATATTACTGATATGTTTGCTAGATGAAGAGCTAAGATTATCTCGTTTTTGGGAAGGCTTCATAAGAGAATTGCTTCATAAGAGCCACTTGGATCATCTCCAAAAGAACTGCGCGGTGACATGCCGTTAGTCATTTGCCACATCAAAATTCGGGAGGTGAATAATGCGACGTCAATATTGGCGTTAGAATTCTAATTCAATTCCTTTCATCTAAAATTGACACAACTTTTGACTTACATTTAAATGACATAAAATTATATGATTTTAATTTAAAGATAATAATAAATAAATTTTGTTATAAAATTTAACAAAATATTTGCATATGATCAACAAAATAATTATTATAAAAGATGAAACAAATTATCTTAATTTATATAATAACTTAATAGACAAACTATCCTCATCTGACTTCAGAATATCTAAGACATTATGAACATCATTTTCTTTCCCTAACTGCCATAAATTTCTAATTTGGCTTGAAGAACGATATGCCAAATCTTCATTGAAATCTCTGGAGGCTAAAATCACGATATTCCAATTACTCAAATGAAGAAGAGAATTCAAAAACTTTGCTGTTTTGGCATGAAATTTTGAAATTATAAGGTCTATGAAGCGCTTCAAATATGAAAGGCAAAAAGAAAGCCTGCAGTGGGGCCTTACAGCTGTGGGACTTATTATTCTTCGGATTCGGATAAATTAACGGCCAAGTCTCCCTGATACAGATTTGGCAACAAGGCTTATGGGATTAGAAGGCTTCTCCAGCCTGCAAGAAAGGAAAAGCACTTTGAATGTCGCTATTATATAAGCGTTTGAATTTTGTAATTGCGTTCAAAGAAGCATTCTCATAGGTGCATGAACGAGAGAGAGAGAGAGAGAGAGAGAGTTCCTTGCAATCTCCTCCACAGCTTTCATTACTTGCTCTGAACTGGTTTCCACCACCTGCCCCGCAAAGATGATCTCATCCAATACAGCGTGCAACTGCGCGTAAACAGTCGAAATTTAAAAAAAAAAAATCACCCATTAATTCATGATGTAAAATTTGATGTAAAATTGGATAAAATTGGATATCACAGTCGTCACTTAAATAGATACAAAAACTATAATGGAAACAAATGATAGCCATAAAGGAAGAAAAATAGAGGAAATCAACATGCATATTGTCCATGTTTCAAAAGTTGATTGAGCTCAGGCAATGCCTCCCGCCAGCTCCCATTCGATCCCTAAACGGCCCCCAAAAAAAAACACTGATTTGAAATGTGATGGTCCGGCCTATTTGATTGGGTGGAAATTAAAAGAGAGCTGTTTAAAAAGGTTCTTAATCAAAGGGGAATTATTTAGGAATTTCTAAATTACAATTGAGAGAGAATTATTTAAGCAAAACATCTAATTTGAATTCAAAATCTAAGAGGATTTTTTTGGGAAAAGGAAGAAGAATTAAGGGGGATTTGTTTAAGAAAATTTTAATTATAATTAGGAGAGAATTAATTAGAAAAAGAAATCTAATTTGAATTTAAATATGAAAAGAAATTATTTAAGAAAAGGGAGCTGATTTGGGAGGGAATTATGGAAGCCTATTTAAGGCTAACAATAGGGTGATTTCAGGATATACTTTTTGAGAGTTTGCTGAATTTAGTTTATTCTTAGGTTATTTGGGCTCTAGCCGGCGGCTAGGGATTTGCGAGGGTCGGATTTTTCTCTCCAATTGAAGATCTAACTTTATATTGTTATTTTCTTCCATATATCTTGTAATAAAAATAGTAGTGTTTTCTTCCTATTTCATTTTGTCTGATTTCGAGGGAATTGCATCCACTTACTATCAAAATGAAAATAAAAAACCACCAAATAGTAAG